TATGTTAAGTTTCCTTTATGTTAAGTTGCCTTTATGTTAAGATGCCTTTATGTTTAGTTGCCTTTATGATAAGTTGCCTTTATGTTAAATTGCCTTTATTTTAAGTTGCCTTTATGTTTAGTTGCCTTTATGTTAAGTTGCCTTTATGTTAAGTTGCCTTTATGTTAAGTTGCCTTTATGTTAAGTTGCCTTTATGTTTAGTTGTCTTCATGTTTAGTTGCCTTTATGTTTAGTTGCCTTTATGTTTAGTTGCCTTTATGTTAAGTTGCCTTTATATTAAGTGACCTTTATGTTTAGTTGCCTTTATGTTTAGTTGCCTTTATGTTTAGTTGCCTTTATGTTTAGTTGCTTTTATGTTAAGTTGCCTTTATGTTTAGTTGCCTTTATGTTAAGTTGCCTTTATGTTAAGTTACCTTTATGTTAAGTTGCCTTTATGTTAAGTTGCCTTTATGTTAAGTTGCCTTTATGTTAAGTTGCCTTTATGTTAAGTTGTGTTTATGTTAAGTTGCGTTTATGTTAAGTTGCCTTTTTGTTAAGTTGCGTTTATGTTAAGTTATGTTTATGTTAAGTTGTGTTTATGTTAAGTTGCCTTTATGTTAAGTTGCCTTTATGTTAAGTTGTGTTTATGTTAAGTTGTGTTTATGTTAAGTTGCCTTTATGTTAAGTTGTGTTTATGTTAAGTTGTGTTTATGTTAAGTTATGTTTATGTTAAGTTTTGTTTATGTTAAGTTGCCTTTATGTTAAGTTGTGTTTATGTTAAGTTGTGTTTATGTTAAGTTGTGTTTATGTTAAGTTATGTTTATGTTAAGTTGTGTTTATGTTAAGTTGCCTTTATGTTAAGTTGCCTTTATGTTAAGTTACCTTTATGTTAAGTTGCCTTTATGTTAAATAGCCTTTATGTTAAGTTGCCTTTATGTTAAGTTACCTTTATGTTAAGTTACCTTTATGTTTAATTGCCTTTATGTTAAGTTTCCTTTATGTTAAGTTGCCTTTATGTTAAGATGCCTTTATGTTTAGTTGCCTTTATGATAAGTTGCCTTTATGTTAAATTGCCTTTATTTTAAGTTGCCTTTATGTTTAGTTGCCTTTATGTTAAGTTGCCTTTATGTTAAGTTGCCTTTATGTTAAGTTGCCTTTATGTTAAGTTGCATTTATGTTTAGTTGCATTTATGTTTAACTTACATTCAAAATACCAAGATAGTCTGTGGGCGTCATGGGAAACAATGGCTGGTGGCGCAAGAAACAATAAGACTTCAACCAAGGGTGGACCTCTGGGAGGAAAGTACTAAACACACATTGGTACACATATTAGAGATGAGAATTTACTGAAAGACATATTGGTACACATATTAGAGATGAGAATTTACTGAAAGACACATTGGTACACATATTAGAGATGAGAATGTATTGAAAGATACATTGGTACACATATAAGGGATTGGAGCTTAACCCGACCTTCTGAAATAGGACAAGTGCCACGCAGTTTTTTCAGGAAAAAAATGTGTGTGTGTGCGTGTATGTAGGGTGGGGGTTGGGTGAGGTAATGTGTTCTCAATTTTTAGAGCACCCCCGTACGCCCCCATACACCCCTGTACATCTCGTCCCCCCTGACATTTTATTTAAATGAATTTATTAAATCTCCTTTAGGGCATTAATTATAACTTAAGCACCCCTAGCCCCAAACCCCTACCCCCCAACCCCCCTCCCCCCCACCCCCTCACCCCCAACCCCCCCTCCCCCCNCCTAGCCCCCAACCCCCTTGCAGCCAACCACCTAGCCCCCAACCCCCTTGCAGCCAACCACCTAGCCCCCAACCCCCCTGCAGCCAACCACATAGCCGCCAACCCCTTAGGCGCCCGCCCCCTAGCCCCCAACCCCCTTGCAGCCAACCTGCAGGGCCAAATACTGCAGGGCCAAATACTGCAGGGCCAATTACTGCATGTCCAGTTTCTGCAGTGCCAGTTACTGCAGGGAAATTACTGCAGGGCCGATTACTGCAGGGCCGTTTACTGCAGGGCCGTTTACTGCAGGGCCAGTGGGGTTAATAACATTTCAACATGAAAAGGTTGTTGTTTTTTTTTGTTCAATTGACACTGTGAATACTAAGTCCTTCAATTAAAAACAGTTTTTACTGCATTGACCTACCTTAACTGTAACTCAGCACTCTAGGGTAGACCTACCTTAACTGTAACTCAGCACTCTAGAGTAGACCTACCTTAACTGTAACTCAGCACTGTAGGGTAGACATACCTTAACTGTAACTCAGCACTCTAGGGTATACCTACCTTAACTGTAACTCAGCACTCTAGGGTAGACCTACCTTAACTGGAACTCAGCACTCTAGGGTAGACCTACCTTAACTGTAACTCAGCACTCTAGGGTAGACCTACCTTAACTGTAACTCAGCACTCTAGGGTAGACCTACCTTAACTGTAACTCAGCACTCTAGAGTAGACCTACCTTAACTGTAACTCAGCACTGTAGGGTAGACCTACCTTAACTGTAACTCAGCACTCTAGGGTATACCTACCTTAACTGTAACTCAGCACTCTAGGGTAGACCTACCTTAACTGGAACTCAGCACTCTAGGGTAGACCTACCTTAACTGTAACTCAGCACTCTAGGGTAGACCTACCTTAACTGTAACTCAGCACTCTAGGGTAGACCTATACATCACCTCAGCACTCAAGTGTTAACCTTTACTGCACGTCAGCACTCTAGTGTTGACGTTAGCTCCACTTCAACACTCTAGCTTTGACCTATTTTAACTGCATCTCGGCACTCAAGCGTTTAACTATTTTTAGCGCACCTTGGCACTGTAGCGTTGATCTATTTTAATTGCACCTCAGCACTCTAGCGTTGATTTATTTTAACTGCACCTCAACACTCTAGCGTTGATCTATTTTAATTGCACCTCAGCACTCTAGCGTTGACCTATTTTTACTGCACTTCAGCACTCTAGCGTTGACCTATTTTTACTGCACCTCAGCACTCTAGCGTTGACCTATTTTTACTGCACTTCAGCACTTTAGCGTTGACCTATTTTTACTGCACTTCAGTACTCTAGCGTTGACCTATTTTTACTGCACTTCAGCACTCTAGCTTTGACCTATTTTTACTGCACCTCAGCACTCTAGCGTTGACCTATTTTTACTGAATTCAGCACTCTAGCGTTGACCTATTTTTACTGCACTTCAGCACTCTAGCTTTGACCTATTTTTACTGCACCTCAGCACTCTAGCGTTGACCTATTTTTACTGCACTTCAGCACTCTAGCTTTGACCTATTTTTACTGCACCTCAGCACTCTAGCTTCGACCTATTTTTACTGCACTTCAGCACTCTAGCGTTGACCTATTTTTACTGCACCTCAGCACTCTAGCGTTGACCTATTTTTACTGCACTTCAGCACTTTAGCGTTGACCTATTTTTACTGCACTTCAATTACTGCACTTCAGCACTCTAGCGTTGACCTATTTTTACTGCACTTCAGCACTCTAGCGTTGACCTATTTTTACTGCACTTCAGCACTCTAGCGTTGACCTATTTTTACTGCACTTCAGCACTCTAGCGTTGACCTATTTTTACTGCACTTCAGCACTCTAGTGTTGACCTATTTTTACTGCACCTCAGCACTCTAGCGTTGACCTATTTTTACTGCACCTCAGCACTCTAGCGTTGACCTATTTTACTGCACCTCAGCACTCTAGCGTTGACCTTTGCAGAATCGTAACCCGTCTTTTGGCCGTGTCTGTGGACCGAACCGTCACCTTGGCCTGATTGCTCGGCCAGGCGTCCCGTACACAGCGGTGCCAGATCTCCGTGAACTCGACACCAAGCGAATGTCGCTTGAAATCAAATCTGGACCAGGGTGAACTTGGGGTAAATCTTTCAAGTCTGCATTTTGACCGCTTTTCACCAGGATGTCCTTGAGAATAGGCTGACCTTTGAAACAAGGACAGTGTTCTAGACTTGGTTATTTTGCACACATTGTGTCCGCCGCCTGTAAGCCAATTTCTAACCCTTTTTTTTTTTTTTTTTTTTTTTTTTTTTTTTTTTTTTTTTTTTTTAGTTTTTGTTTACAAGATAACAATTTGACATTGGCAGCAAAAGACATTTCCAGACTCATGTGCTGGCAGCTTCTATTTGGTATCAACATGGATGACCTAAGAAATCCATTTGACGCATTGAAATTTTATAAATATAATGCCTAATAGGAATCCGTTTGACACATTAAAAATCTGATATTTGGAAGTCTCTGAAACGTAAAAAGAATCACAAGTGAGTTTGTTTGTTTTGTTACATTGTTGGCCCTCAACTTTCACGGGAAAGACGTGAACTCATTTGTACATATTGACGCATCATACATTGAAATAAAGAATGAGAAAAGATTGGGACACTCAATTAACACGAGATCAATGCAATAAGAAACACAGCGATGCGTATCGCCGTTGAAGTAAATCAAAGAATATTTTTAATGAAACTTTACCCTTGGGTGACAGCAGCTTATGCAAAATAAAAACAGAATAAAAATAAAACCACCTGCTTCAGCAGTATGTAGAGACCACGCTTGAGTGGTTTACAAACAGGTTTACGAAACACGGCCTCAATGAGCACAACGTATAATGTAACGAATAACAAGATTGTAAAAATACACGTCATTGTGCTGACCCAAATAATAAAGATTTATACCCACACAACTCATCCAGTTAAATTATAACTATCAAAGCCTTGTAGATATCATAAATATAATACAAACACATATATAAATATTTATCAAAAGACTTCAGTTCGAACGATTTGACATTTATTCCTCCCCTCCCTTTCTACCCCTCCTTCTCTCCCCTCCTTTTCTCCCCCCTCCTTCTCACTCCCTCCCCCCCCCTAAATTATTCACTCCTGAGGAGCGTACATTCCATCACTCTCCTCGTTCTCGGTTTCCGAGTCTCCGCTCTTGTCACTTTCATTGTCCCGCCCATCACAATCGCCACGCCCATCATACTCGCCAAGCCCCTCTTCATCGCCACGTCCATCTTCCTCGCCACGAACACTATCTCCATCGCAACCATCGTCCTCGCCACGCCCAGCGCTCTCGCCACGCCCAGTGTCCTCGCCACGCCCACTCCTGTCAGTGCTGGACGCCGCATCGTCTGTCTCGCCGTAGTCGTCCAGTTCGTTGTAATAATCTTCCTCTTCCGCCTCGTCCATCTCATTGTCATCCTCATCATACCGTGGCTCCGGGGTGTCCTCCATCCAGGCTGCTTCATCGGGGTCAAGGCCACGTGCCACGCTGATTAGCCTCATTTCCGGGTCCAGGCATGGCAAGGGGAGCTCACATATCTTAGCCAGCTCATGGTCAACTGTAAAAACCAAAAAATAAAAATCACTGTTCAAGTAATATATTTTAAGTGTTACTTGAACCTTTTTCAAATACTATTCAAATCTCACTTTCTTGCAGGGGCGTAGATGGGTTTCGGGCGGCCCGGCGAGGGTCGTAAATTTAGCCTCCCCCTTCTACTAAATAACCCATACAGTAAAATGCCGACAATCAAAATAAAGAGAAAAAGGTGTCGCCCCGGGTTCGACCGCCCCCTCCGCAGCCCTCCCCCCCCGTACACCCCTGCTGTATGAATGCCAGAGACATATTTCAGACAGATAATCTTTGACGGACAACTCCAGATGCATCTTTTCAAACAGAAAAGCGGTGCTTTACGTTAAAACACTTTTCGAATCACTGTATCCACTGGAAGATAAAGTTTCAATAATTTGTGTCTTCATTCCAACATAAGGCCCTGGCTTGGAATAAGTCTCTATTCACAAATCAGTCCTAACAATTGGGGTTTAAGAAGACGACAATATGCATCACTGTCAAAGACATAAATTTGGGACTGAAATGGAGTTAACCACAGGCAGGGCGTAAAAACTGGGTTAGGAAATAGATGGGTTGTGGAATAGATGGGTTGTGAAATAGATGGGTTGGGAAATAGATGGGTTGTGAAATAGATGGGTTGTGAAATAGATGGGTTGTGAAATAGATGGGTTGTGAAATAGATGGGTTGTGAAATAGATGGGTTGTGGAATAGATGGGTTGTGAAATAGATGGGTTGTGAAATAGATGGGTTGTGAAATAGATGGGTTGTGAAATAGATGGGTTGGGAAATAGATGGGTTGTGAAATAGATGGGTTGTGAAATAGATGGGTTGTGAAATAGATGGGTTGTGAAATAGATGGGTTGTGAAATAGATGGGTTGTGAAATAGATGGGTTGTGAAAAAAATGGGTTGTGAAATAGATGGGTTGTGAAATAGATGGGTTGTGAAATAGATAGGTTGTGAAATAGATGGGTTGTGAAATAGATGCGTTGTGGAATAGACGGTTTGTGAAATAGATGGGTTGTGAAATAGATGGGTTGTGGAATAGATGGGTTGTGAAATAGATGGGTTGTGAAATAGATGGGTTTGGAAATAGATAGGTTGGAAATAGATGGGTTGTGAAATAGATGGGTTGTGAAATAGATGGGTTTTGAAATAGATAGGTTGGAAATAGATGGGTTATAGATAGGTTGGAAATAGATGGGTTGGAAATAGATGGGTTGTGAAATAGATGGGTTGTGAAATAGATGGGTTTGGAAATAGATAGGTTGGAAATAGATGGGTTATAGATAGGTTGGAAATAGATGGGTTGGGAAATAGATGGGTTGGAAAATATATAGGATGGAAATAGATGGGTTGGGAGATAGATAGGATGGAAATAGATAGGTTTGGAAATAGATGGGATGGTAAATAGATGGGTTTCTAAATAGCTGGGAAGGGAAATAGATGGGTTGGGAAATTGGAGGATTTTCCCATTTCTTACCTAGGACCAGCAGATGACCAGCAGATGACCATTCCATGTGCTTTATATTTTAATTTCCTTTGACTTCCAGATCTAAGTCACACCCCAGCCCGAATAAAATACTACAGTTTAGAACTAAATAATATGTTGGGGTTTTTTTTGTACCTCGATCCAGTCCCAATGTATTTCTACAGCGGTTGGTGGTTTGTATAGGGAGCTGGGCAACACCACCACCACCACCACCATGCTGGTCAGCGAATCCACCAACTTCTCCAACGCTGGTTGGCTCAGCTTCCACTGCTGCTGCTGTTGCTGCTGCCGGTCGATCGTGAGGAGTGTCCGCTCTGATGGAACGTGGTGAGCTCCGGGATGACCTTGTATTGACAGAGATTGACCTTGAGGATCTGGAGCTTGTCCGCGACCTCTCATCATGTGCGACCACGGAATGTCTGGATGACTGGATCGAAGGAGAGAAAAAATAGAACCAAAACTTTCTTTTTGAAATGGTTATCATTTGAGGGCGCGGGAGAGAAAATGGGAAACAGAGAGAAAGAGAGAGAGAGAGACAGAGAGAGATAGAGAGAGAGACAGAGAGAGAGAGACAGAGAGAGAGACAGAGACAGAGAGAGACAGAGAGAGACAGAGAGAGAGACAGAGAGAGACAGAGACAGAGAGAGACAGAGAGAGACAGAGAGAGAGACAGATAGAGACATAGACTGAGAGAGACAGAGAGAGAGACAGAGACAGATACAGAGAGACAGAGAGAAAGAGAGAGAGACAGAGAGAGAGAGAGACAGAGAGAGAGAGACAGAGAGAGAGACAGACAGAGAGAGACAGAGAGAGACAGAGAGACAGACAGAGAGAGACAGAGAGAGACAGAGAGAGAGACAGAGAGAGAGACAGAGAGAGAGAGAGAGAGAGAGAGAGAGAGAAAGAGAGAGAGTCGGAGACAGAAATTAAAAGAGGGAAAGAGAAAAAAGACACAGACAGAAAGAGACAGGCAAGGAGAGAGGGGGGAGAAGAATAGAGTGATAACGTTTTCCCAAAAAGAGAAGTAGACAGAGTAGAGTGAGATCGAGATGGGGAGAAATAGACAGAGTAGAGTGAGATCGAGTTGAAAATATAAAGAGAAATGGAGAAATAAATGAATTGCGAAAAAACAGAAATCTAAGTAATGGGGAAAGAAAAAGGGATATATATATATATATATATATATATATATAGAGAGAGAGAGAGAGAGACAGAGAGAGAGAGAGAGAGAGACAGAGAGAGATAGAGAAGAAAATAAAATATAAAAGAGGTACCGGCATAAGAGAACTAAACATTTGACTAGTAGCGTCCATCAATACCTTTGAAGACTCATCACTACGATGAGAGGTCTGAACCTCTTCTCTACTTCCGCTTCTGTTAGTCNAAAAAAAGAAAAATAAGTAAAAGGGAAAAAAAAAAAGATATATATATATATATATATATATATATATAGAGAGAGAGAGAGAGACAGAGAGAGAGAGAGAGAGAGAGACAGAGAGAGATAGAGAAGAAAATTAAATATAAAAGAGGTACCGGCATAAGAGAACTAAACATTTGACTAGTAGCGTCCATCAATACCTTTGAAGACTCATCACTACGATGAGAGGTCTGAACCTCTTCTCTACTTCCGCTTCTGTTAGTCGACTTGTGACCAGAGTTCCTGGAGGACAACCTTGTCGACCTTGACATTGAGGACAAGCTTGAAGCCAGGGACGACCAGGATGAAGACTGGCTACATCCGGTTTCCATCTTGTCTTCCAGCTCGTGACTGGGCGGGGCTTGCTCCGCGGACTCCTGGCTCTGCTCCTCACATGCGACCTCAGCTTCACCAGTATCAGCGTTGACGTCCTCCTCCTCCTCCTCCTCCTTGGTATCGTCATCATCGCTGTCATTATCTTCCTCGCTTGGATTCTCCCGGTCATCGTCGTAGTCGTCGTCATACTGCGTAGCCATTGGTTGATCGCTAGCACCGCCTCCTTCTGTTTTATCATTGGTGATTGGCTGCGTTTTGAATGAAGAAAACACGTGACAAATTTGACGCTTAACAGTGAAGATGGGAAAGTGTGTGGGGGGAGGGATTCCTAAAGGTCATCCGGGAAGAGAAGGGAGTGCTGTGGGCCCTACGAACCGAACTCGAACATAACACAGTGAACCGGACCCGAAAATCAACGTCACTGAGTTTGAAGGGAATGAACTGAACGAATCTCTCGCGAAATTATTATAACCGGAAAAGTTTTACGCCTGAAATTCTTATATTTTAATCAAAACCCCATAGGGAAGCGTTTTTTTTTTTTTTCTGGGGGGGGGGGGGAAGTTTCCTACAGTAAAGGCAACTCTAGCAACCAGCAACACTCACACTAACTAGCAACCAGCAACACTCACTCTAACTCTAGCAACCAGCAAAACTCACTCTAACTATAGCAACCCGCAACACTCACTCTAACTCTAGCAACCAGCAACACTCACTCTAACTCTGGAAACCAGCACCACTCACACTAACTCCAGCAACCAGCAACACTCACTCTAACTCTAGCAACCAGCAACACTCACTCTAACTCTAGCAACCAGCAAAACTCACTCTAACTCTAGCAACCAGCAACACTCACACTAACTCTAGCAACCAGCAACACTCACACTAACTCTAGAAACCAGCAACACTTACTCTAACTCTAGCAACCATCAACACTCACTCTAACTCTAGCAGCCAGCAATAATCACTATAACTCTAGCAACCAGCAACACTCACACTAACTCTAGCAACCAGCAACACTCACACTAACTCTGGCAAACAACAACACTCACACTAACTCAGGCAAACAACAACACTCACACTAACTCAGGCAAACAACAACACTCACACTAACTCAGGCAAACAACAACACTCACACTAACTCAGGCAAACAACAACACTCACACTAACTCAGGCAAACAACAACACTCACGCTTACTTTGGTCATAACGCACTTTGCCTTTTCCAAGCAGATGTTTCCTTTATAAAACTACCCATATGATACGCCCGCAGCAATTAGAACCGCCCCATGTTGCATGCACCTGGTGTTATTCAATTAAACAAATAAACAGGAAAAGTCAAAGAAAGCTATTAAAATGAAACAATAGTTTCAACAATTAATTCCATGAGTTTGGCGGTGTCCCATGTTGACCGACCTGTTCCTGTCGCTGCATGACGCCCATGATCTCACGGCATTTCTCGATCACGATTGTGGGTGGACAGCCATCGACGCTACTCAGCGCTAGGACCAGCTCTTGTGCAACAGCCGACAGCTGAAGTGAGACAAGAATTATGTTTATCAAATGTTTTTTTTTTTAAAGTTTAAAAGTTTATTTATTTCCAACACACTGACGCCCGGGGGGGGGGTGGAAGGGGGGGGGAGGGGGGAGTCTCAAAACGAATTTGCTCAGATCCGGAACAAAATATTTGCCTTCTGAAGTGGACCTTTGTAATTTTTCCTTATTGCTCACAGAGTCACCACCTGTTATTTACTAAATACAAAAATATAAGCACACAAACATAAATAAAACCTTGTTTGATACCTTTCGTCTCCCAAAGTATGATTTTAAATATACCACATTTTTCTGTTTTCAAACTGTCCTACCTGTGTTTTCAAACTGTCCTACCTGTATTTTCAAACAGTCCGCGTCCATGTTCGATAATGTGCTGTCGTTTCCCGCCAATTGTTGAATCCTGTCCCAGAGCCCTTCATTGGTAATCGTCCCACTTTCTGATAAAAAAAAACAAAGAAATTCTTTTGGATGTAAAATTTACAATTTATATATATATGTGTGTGTGTGTATCTACTGGATGGTCGAGCGGTCTAAACTGAGTCAATCTCAAGCTAGTGGACTAGAGTTCGATCCTCGGAAAATGGGACCCATTAACCTGAAAGGCAACTTATTTAAGAGAAGGAAAACTGACATGAAACACAGAGACAGCGTCCCGTCGTCGGTATGAAACTGACACAATGAACGCATTAAGAGCACAGTGAGACACACTGCTGGTCATCTGCTGCACACTGGTTAATGTCCAGGCGTCATGACTAAGTTTTGAAATGAGATTAAATAGGCAAGGACGAGAGGCTGAGGCTGACGAATAGAGCAATAAAGTACAGCTCAAGTCAGGGCTGCTACTCAAGTCGAAAATAAATTGACCACGGTCATCTTCGCGTGCGAAGTACGAACAACGTTTACAAGAAAATGATATTTTAGCTTTGTTCATTTGCAGCTAATCGAAACATACGCATACATCCACAAGGGAAATGAACTTTGGTTTGTAAGTACAATCATCACAATTATACATTCAACCACTAAAAGTAAACGGTGAACAGAAACACAACAACAACAACACGTGGACCCATTGAGCTCACCTATGTATTTAAAGACGCTGGTGGCAGCACCGACCAACCGCTCGCTTGCCACCGACATCTGGACTTGTCCGCTCAGCAAGCCTTCAGCTTCACCAACATCGCCACGCTCCAGTTTTACTTTGGCGAGGTCAAGGCACGAGAGGAGACGAGCCACGTCCTTGGCCGACAGTTCGCCGAGCTCGGCCACGGTAAAACATTTATAAATCAGACCCGTGACATCGGGAATCTCCTCAGACAGCAGAGACATCAACAGACTCCGGTGCAGCCTGGAATCTGTCTGACCCTCCTTCGGGACAGCGCAGTCCATAGTTACACCCGAGCCATCGTCACACTTCTCAGCCCCCTCCTCCTTCTCCACGGGTGTTGCATTCACCTCTTCAGCACCGTCACTCTCGTTATTCTCGTCACTTGAGTAGTCGGCATCCAAGTCGCCGTCATCTCCTACAGGCTGACAATCCTCTACCGTTGCAGCTTCGGATTTCTCGGGTATATTCTCGCCATCCCCTTTAGATTTTTCAACCGGTCTGTGGTAGATGACCTCGACGATACGCTCCTGGTGCAGGCCCGGTGAGACCATCCAGTCCTTGACTTTCCCTCGAGTAGATTTCTTCAAGGGTATCTCGGCCTTTGGAACCTTCTTAGGCTGGGCCAGCTTGGGTCTTTGCTTGCTGGTGGCTTGAGACTCCCTGACAGACTTCACGACGGCGCCACGTTTTGGCACCTGAGAAGGCTTTGAGTTCTGGACGCCGCTGAGGTTACCCTCTTTTGGACCTCTCCCGACAGGTTTAACGGGTGTGCCAACGGGCTTCACCCCGGACTTCGTCTTCACGTCCGCCTTGCTCAACTTATTCTGCGACACGTTCATCTGAGAAAGCCTCTTGCTTGTTTTCGGCTTCCACAGCGAGGAGCTGCTCTTGGTGGTGTCCAGACTGTTGGCGGCAGACGTGGCCTGGATGTTGCGCCTCCACTCGCTGACCCTGCTGATGATCTTCTTCGACGTCATCACATCGGCCTCCGTCCCTCGCGAACGCTCGGCTTTGTGCCTGTCGCTCTGGCAGCTCGAGCTGGGCTTCGTACGGACGGAGCTCTCCCCCTTGCACGAGCTGTCGATCCTTATCGAGGAGCCCTGACGCCCGTGGGTCATCTTGCACACGCAGGTCGTCGTCTCGACGTTGATGAAGTTGGACAACCGTCTTTCCCTGTCCACCACTTCGGCATAATAAGGCCCCAGTGGGTCGGGGTCCTTAAACGTTCGGCTGCACAGATACGGATGGGATGTTTTCTTGAACAAAGATTCGTCAGCACACTTCTTACACCACCGCAGTCTGCCGAAAAGCTCGTTCAGAATGATCTCAACCACGAGGACGCAAACGGCGTCCGACCTTGAAATCTGCGCGACCAGTAGCCCGTCCTTACCTTCCCCTTTAGGACTGACGAACTTGTAGTCGGCAGCTAGGCAAGCTTTGATGATCGACCGGATCAGATTGGCCGTCTTTTCAAGATCCCCCCCTTCCTGTTTGTTCTCGTCTACGATCCTCTCGAACAACCCGCTGATGTATGATGCGATGCTGGACATGGGCTCAGCGCTCGTGAAGGATGCCGTGCATAACGAGGGATTAACAGAATGCTGACCCCCGAACGTCTGAACCGGCGCAAACGGGTCATCGAAATGATCCCCCTTGTCCGCCATGTGGGGACAGTTAGAAAACCGGATGTCTTTGCGCTTCGCGTGGCTGCGCACTTTCCCTAAGATGACGTCGATAAAAACGCGCGCCTCGAGCTCCGCCTGGTAGTCGGCGTTCATCACCAGGGCGGCGTCCACATCATCCTTCAGTTGCTGGTGAATGCTCGCAAAGACGACGCCGATGTGGTTCAAAATAGTCTGGGAAACGTCCTGTTCTATTTTTAGCAACGGGTTGATCAACGAGTTGTTACTGGAGTCCTTCTTCTTGTTGTCTGATACATTGTATGACGCCATTGTGGAACCGGGCTGGGGAGTCTTCTCTTCTTTCGACTTGGCAGTTTTTTCAGACCGGAGTAGATCGTTTATGCGGATAAATGGGAATTCCCCAATCTCCACGCGGTACACCACGGAATTCATGACGTAGTTGATGACGTTCTCGGCAACTACTGTCGGCGATGACGTCCGGCTGTTCTGGTAGCTCACATCATCTGACGGTGATGAAAGTTGATTAAAACTATTGTGTAGTATTAGGTGTGCTCTACCGAGCAAGGGGGCGTATGGCGTTCAATCGCTATGAACAACGGATGGATAGATGAATAAGTGGATAGATGAATAAATGAAAAGAAGAATAAATGTATAGATGAATATATGGATGATGGTTGAAACGAAAAGACGGAATGATGGATGGATTGTTAAAAATGTGTTTGGTGGGATGATCTTTGGATGAAAGCCCGGTGATTTGATGAATAGGTTAAAGAGACGGATGGATAAACGGATGGAAAAACCGAGGCATAATTGGATCCATTATTCGAAAGCGAACCATGACATTGATATAGACTTATGGAAAAATAACATAGTGACTGGATAAGACGCCATTTTACCTTCATGGTCTTTGCAGGGCCTCTCAGTCAGAGCGTCTAGGACACCGCCGATACGAGCGAAGACTTTATCGATGACCTCAATAGGCAGCATAAGCACCGAGTCCTCCTTAGTGCCGGCCACGCACTTGGGGGTCCACAGCCCCTGGTGGTTCTTCTCTTCCTCCACGCCATTCCGGATGGCCGACAGGATGTTGTGCACGATGACGTAAGCAGATATCAGGTACTTCTGCTCGTCATTGTACACCGACATCCTCAGGGGGGACCAGATGGTCTTGTCGAACGATCCCTTGAGGACCGCCGTCAGCGTCCTGAGCGTGGTCAGCATGCACGCCCTGGCCAGCTGCGTCACGAGGTGTGGCGGCACGCAGGACAGCACCACGTGCGGCTGACCCCTGACTCCGCCGATGTCCAGGCCGATGCGGCTGAGGCTCTCGGCCATCTTGGCCAGTGTCGTCATGGAGGTCTTCACGGACTCTACTTCAAAAATGGCGCGCGTGACCAGCTGCACGGCCTCGTCGTGGGTCAGCTGGAGGGGAGACAGGCAGTCCGAGTTTTCTCCAATGACGTAGTTCTGCAGATCCCCAGGCGTGATTTTTTTCTTGAACAGTGCGTTCCTGGCATCCCAAAGCTTCTCGTACAGCAGTATGACAAACCTGGCGAGAGGAGACGTTATCAGATGCTGGTGATGAGTGTATCACTTGACTGTATCACATGATTTTATCACATTATATGAGAATCACCTGATCGTATGACATGATTGTATGACATGATTGTAATGACATGATTGTTATGAAATGATTGTATCACATTAGAACTGGGGGCCGTGAAAAACGGTTTAAATTTAGTGAAAAATTTTGCTAAATAATGTCACGACAGTTTGCTTGTTTCTTTGTTAAGATTGTCACAGCAATTTCCTGGAGTGAGTTTCGTTAAGTTAATTCGATGTCTGTGGTGGGGGGGGGAGGGGAGAGGCGGGGGATGGGTAGGGGGAGGCGCGCGCAACAATAGAGGAAACATTCCCGCATCTTCATTTTCAAAACAATTTAAAAGTTGCACGTTAATGATCTGCTTCAGAGAGCGGACAGTCGTCTGCTTCAGAGAGTGGACAGTCATCTGCTTCAGAGAGTGGACAGTCGCCTGCTTCAGAGAGTGGACAGTCGCCTGCTTCAGAGAGTGGACAGTCGTCTGCTTCAGAGAGTGGACAGTCGTCTTCTTCAGAGAGTGGACAGTCGTCTGCTTCAGAGAAGCGACAGTCGTCTTCTTCAGAGAGTGGACAGTCGTCTTCTTAAGAGAGTGGACAGTCGTCTTCTTCAGAGAGTGGACAGTCGTCTGCTTCAGAGATTGGACAGTCGTCTTCTTCAGAGAGTGAACAGTCGTCTTCTTCAGAGAGTGGACAGTCGTCTGCTTCAGAGAGCGGACAGTCTTCTGCTTCAGAGAGTGGACAGTCGTCTGTTTCAGAGAGTTGACAGTCGTCTGCTTCAGAGAGCGGACAGTCGTCTGCTTCAGAGAGTGGACAGTCGTCTGTTTCGGAGAGTTGACAGTCGGCGAGGGTTTTTTGGGTTAGCTCTCACAGTTTAAAGTTAGTTAACAAAAGGTCCTGAACAAAGCAAAGATCCGAAATATATTACCGCCAAATAATCCATTTCAATGGCCAAGTATAATAAGTTTTGGTGCCGTGTAGTATAAAGCTTTAATTAATGTAAACAATTGCGATTCTAGCACAACAAAATAAATTACACATAAATAGCAGTGTGGAAAAGAAAAGTGGAGGGTTGGGGGGGGGCATTAAAGAGAAACACGAGTATGATGCTCTTCATGTTTTCATATATATTTCCCCAAGAATTTCTCACGTGCGGCTGTCCTGAAGTTGCCATCGCAAATGACCAAACTGTCGAAGAGGAAATGACACCCCCGTCGAGGGGGGACTGACCAACCTGCAGATGAAGAAATGACCATACTGTCGCGGAGAAAATGACCAAAACACTGAAGAGGAAATGAACAACCTGTCGAGAAGGAAATGACCAACCTGTCGAGGTTGAAATGACCAACCTGTCGAGGTTGAAATGACCAACCTGTCGAGAAGGAAATGACGCCCCGTCGAGGAGAAAATGACCAACCTGTCGAGGTTGAAATGACCAACCTGTCGAGGTTGAAATGACCAACCTGTCGAGGTTGAAATGACCAACCTGTCGAGGATGAACACCGTGCTGGCCAGGTAGTCTGCAAGTTTTGGAGCGAGACGCTTCAGAGACTCCGGTGTGACCAGCATGTCCCCGATGTCCTTGAAGGAGAAGATGAGCTCCTTCCTGAGGGCGGCCTCTATGGAGTCTGGTGTCGGCCGACTTCTCAGCGTGTCCTCTAGGCCCATGGGTTCCTCGTCCTCTGTGTGCGTGGCCATTGAGCACATTGGGAAGAAGAGAAGAAGAGACACATTTTATAGATGACCGATGGAATTTAAGACTAAAAAATTGAACTTTTTTTTAGATTTAAAGTGTGTATATCCCAAATTGTAGTCCTGTGTCCTAAATGATAAGGACAAGCGGGCTTTCGTATCGGGTTTTATTTTACCGCGTTAAATAAGAGAAATTAAAAGTAAACAAATAATAAAAAAGTTATTAATTCCCCTTTTTCCACATACATTATTTGTTTCATTACTCGATATACAGTTTATAGTTTAGCAAGAACGAGACATAAATAATCTCCCCTTTCGTTTACTACACTCCTCAATGTATAAATGATCTTCCCTTTTGTTTACTTCACTCCTCAATGTATAAATGATCTCCCTTTTCGTTTACATCACTCCTCAATGTATAAATGATCTCCTCTTTTGTCTACTTCACTCCTCAATGTATAAATGATCTCCCCTTTCATTTATTTCCCTCCTCAATGAAAATGAGCTCCCCTTTCTTTTACTTCACTCCTCAATGTATAGATGATCTCTCATTTCGTTTACTTCCCTCCTCAATTTATAAATGATCTCCCCCTTTGTTTACTTCACTCCTCAATGAATAAATAAAATAAGATAAGATAAGATTCTTTTATTGATCAAAACAAATGGAAATGTTTTATGATTGCATTTTACATTTTCAGCACATAAATAAAAAAAATTTGAACACAAGACATTTATAATAAAGTATTTCAAGCAGCCATTCAGTGAGTTCTTTTAGCCAAATCGGTGACTTATTAGTTCTCATTAAGATGTGTGACTTCAGAGGGAAAATGAGTAAAACAGAGTAGGGTTAAACCTGAAAAAATAAACGCAACAAAACAGTGTGACACTTCTATTGCTGCCCACAGATACTACTTACCAGCTAAGTGCTATTTCTTATTTTTATACCGTTTTTTCTGTTGTTTGTTCGCTGACGAAGGCTTTCTGCCGACACGTTTGCTGTTTTGTTGCGTTTATTTTTTCACGTTTAACCCTACTCTGTTTTACTCATTTTATTTTGTGCTAACCTGATTGCAGTCTCTCACCTTATTACCCCTGACTTCAGAGGGAGAACGCCGGTAAATTCGTACAGATTGGGGAACAAAAGAATTTGTATATCTTTCAGTCCTCTGAAAATGATCTCCCCTTTCGTTTATTTCCCTCCTCGATGTATAAATGATCTCCCCTTTCGTTTATTTCCCTCCTCGATGTATAAATGATCTCCCCTTTCGTTTATTTCCCTCCTCGATGTAAAAAGTATCTCTCCTTTCGTTTATTTCACTCCTCGATGTATAAATGATCTCCCCTTTCGTTTATTTCACTCCTGGATGTATAAATGATCTCCCCTTTCGTTTATTTCACTCCTCAATGTAAAAATGATCTCCCCTTTCGTTTACTTCTTTCCTAAAATCACAACTTTTAAATGAAAATAACTTCTTTAATGCCAGATTTTCATAAAATTTAGAGTTTTTACATCAATAATATCTATTTTATAAAAATTCGACTCATTGTATGAATTTAAGAGCAATTTAGATGTAATTTAGTGATTTAAGGACACTTGCAAAAGGAGTAAGAGGGAAGCAAACATATAATCAAAGAATGGGAGACTCCGACGTTACCAAATTTCCTATTTTAAACTCATCATTCATCAGTTTACAAGATCAGCGCTTAACATTAATTTTAAAGAGATGAATTCATTGATTAAAAACGATACTCATTCTTTAAACTATTTCAAAGTCCACTTACTAAGCATTTGATAATTTCTATTTTCTACTCTTATTATAATTTCTATTTTCTACTTTTATTATTATTATTAAAACAAACATCTTATTTGCTCTTTTCAGTGTCCATGATTTAAAAATTATAAGATCGTCTGATGGTCATAGACCTGGTGCTGTTAAGGGTCTTCGAATCAGATCTATATAACAATAATGCAGATCATCATGGTCTCTATAAATGACATATGACACTCAAAAACATCATCATGGTCTCTATAAATGACATATGACACTCAAAAACATCATCATGGTCTCTATAAATGACATATGACACTCAAAAACATCATCATGGTCTCTATAAATGACATATGACACTCAAAAACATCATCATGGTCTCTATAAATGACATATGACACTCATAAACATCAGCATGGTCTCTATAAATGACATATGACACTCAAAAACATCATCATGGTCTCTATAAATGACATATGACACTCAAACATATCAACTTGGGATTGAATGACACCTGTGTAATGAGAATGACACCTTGGCAATGAGAATGACTCTGTAGACAATAATTCCATAACATATCGCGGGAAGAATTTGAACGAAAAAAATTCCTTGTATGATTGATCTATGGTCAGTGTTTGATGAGTTGATCTATGGTCAGTGTTTGATGAGTTGATCTATGGTCAGTGTTTGATGAGTTGATCTATGGTCAGTGTTTGATGAGTTGATCTATGGTCAGTGTTTGATGAGTTGATCTATGGTCAGTGTTTGATGAGTTGATCTATGGTCAGTGTTTGATGAGTTGATCTATGGTCAGTGTTTGATGAGTTGACCTATGGTCAGTGTTTGATGAGTTAATCTATGGTCAGTATTTGATGAATTGATCTATGGACATTGTATGACCTTACCATGAGATTTCCTGAACGAAGGGTAGTTGTCTTTGACGGGCACATAACCCACTTTGTGCACTGAACCGAGAACAGACTTGAGAAAAATGTCTGTGATCTTGGGGCGCTGGAAATATAAGATGTTTATTTTAAAAACATTTACAACATGGATAATAATCAAGGATTCAGACCAAGAGTCGAAAAGACCAAGAGTCGAAAAGACCAAGTTTAGACTTAGATCTGTTTCTGGTGTAGATGTGCTCAGTGACATCCGGGCATTGGTGTAAATAAGGTAAATGACATCCGGGCATTGGTGTAGATAGGGCGAATGACATCCGGCCATTGGTGTAGATAGGGTAAATGACATCCGGGCATTGGTGTAGATAGGGTGAATGACATCCGGGCATTGGTGTAGATAGGGTAAATGACATCCGGGCATTGTGTAGATAGGGTAAATGACATCCGGGCATTGTGCAGATAGGGTAAATGACATCCGGGCATTGGTTAGATAGGGTAAATGACATCTGGACATTGGTGTAGATAGGGTCAGTAATCTTCGTGCCAGGCCAAGACTTTTGACGCAACCGTGCACGAAACAAATTCCACCTCCCCAACAATTAAAATAATAAAAGTGCCTTCCGGGGGCAGACCGTCCGCTCTGCCTCCCATTTGATACGCCACTGTGTGTGGGTGTAGTAGACCACGCCCCGAGCTGTCCTAGTTGTAATAAATGCAAAGGTTTGGAATGAGCCTTTTTATGACCCTCAACTGTAACCATAGCATTTTTTAAATCTTTTCACGCGCTTATACTTCTTAATAAAAATGTGACAAAATTGGTCAGCAGTGCTGACGGGCCAGGACCAGAAACTGAATTGCATATATTGGTTAGAGATATTAATTAATACCTTTTTTGTAAATTGATATATATTGTTTATTTTTAAAAATTGCTATAATTGATAAAATATTTAATTGGGCAGAGACCCTTTCAGTCGGCCCATTAAGACTGAAATTAATGCTAGAATATTGCCACTAATCTCTTGAGCCCCTCAAATGGACTCCATTGCCACTAATCTCTTGAGCCCCTCAAAATGACTCCATTGCCACTAGTCTCTTGAGCCCTCAAATGGACTCCATTGCCATTAATCTCTTGAGCCCCTCAAATGGACTCCATTGCCACTGATGTCTTGAGCCCCTCAAGTGGACTCTCCCACTCACAGAACTCGTTAAGTGGCTCAGTTAAAACCTAGTCAATTAAAATCGCAGAGCGCCATGCACAAAATTGAACGAGTAGACGACGTCCTATACCTTAGGGTCGTCCAGGCTTGAGTAATCCTCTTCGCTATGCTCCTGACCTTGGGCGGCGTCCGCCTGTGGGCCCATGACGGTGTAGGCCAACCGTTGGACAGTGGTCGAGTCGGACTTCAGTACCAGGTAATTGGCAATGATCGGCTTCGTCGTTAGAAACTCTTTGATAATAAACCTGCCCTAAAGGAAATGGTCATCAAGAATTAATTTAATCACACCAACGTGACGGTATTGATTTAATTTTTTGTTTTAATCCTTTATGTTAAGTTGGGTTTTGTTCTTGTGTATCTGGCCGGCCGGCTAAATCTTCGCAAGGCTAATTGACCCACTTCCCGTCAAACTTTTGAGCAGAAACTTGGCACATAGACTCGTTACCGATGACAACACATTCTTAACAATTAAACAGAGGTGCTAACCTCCCCTAAAGTTCGCCATCCCCTCCCACCATTCTCTGCGCCCTACCAGTCGCCACAATCCACCTTTTATCACACCCCATTATTCCCGCGTCCCACCATTCACCACGCCCACCATTTACCACGCTCTGCCGCCATTCACCACGATTCACCACGCCCCACCACGCCCGACGATTCACCACGCCCCACCATTCACCACGCCCCACCACCATTCACCACGCCCCACCACCATTCACCACGCCCCACCACCATTCACCACGCCCCACCATTCACCACGCCCCACCACTCACCACGCACCACCATTCACCACGCCCCACCATTCACCACGCCCCACCATTCACCACGCCCCACCATTCACCACGCCCCACCATTCACCACGCCCCACCATTCACCACGCCCCACCCTCCACCACGCCCCACCATTCACCACGCGCCACCAGTCACCACGCCCCACCACTCATCATGGCCCACCACGCCACACCACCCTCCACCACGCCCCACCACGCCCCACCATTCACCACGCACCACCATTCACCACGCCCCACCATTCATCATGGCCCACCACGCCCCACCATTCACCTCTTTAGCTAGCTGTGCTATGCTCCTCCACACGTAGAGAATCTGAATGTCGTCAGGTTCATCGACCTTCAGCCCGGACGAGGCGACCTTGAGCGCCACGGTGGCCACGAACGTGAAATAGGCCTGTGAGACCAGGTCCAGGAAACTGGTCGTCTGCTCGGGGTCCAGCGTGACAGCGGTCAGAGGCTGGACCATGTTCTCCATGCTGCTGCTCTGTCTGACCGACATCGCTAGGTACGACCGGAACAAGCAGGCCAAGATCTTCTTGCAGGCCGCGAAGTTCAAATCTTTGAATCTACACAAAATCGAATAGTTCATGATTCATATTGTATCTCTTAAACAGATACGAATGTTTTGGTCTAAAAGGAAGCAAGTCTGGCCTTACATGTTTTATGTGCAATTTAGAAATATTTTTCAAGCATTTTCATGTGAAACCCAGAACTAGCCGTGGGTGGACATGAGATTGGGGGTGGTGATATACTTCACTTCGTCTCCAAACTTGCAATTTAAAATAATTATTTTTTTTAAAAAACAACATTTCAATCAATGTAATGGTCATTAGAGTTTATGTGTTCTTGACTTGAGAAGAAGGTTTTGTCGCGTTTCTATACCGACCCACGCCGACCGTGGAGAAATGTTTCTATCAAAGACTCTAACACTAACCGTAACCCTAACACGAGGACAGTAACACTAACCATAACCCTAACACGAGGAGAGTAACACTAACCATAACCCTAACACGAGGAGAGGAACGCTAACCGTGGGTCAGTCTTGTAGTCAAAGGTATCATGATCTAGTCTTGTTTCGTCCATTGCAATGTCAATCCTATGCTTGCAGTAAAATTTATGATTGATCAGTGGGAGATCAATGGAAGATCAACCGGAAATGTCTTCAGGTTAAGTTTGCCTTCCGGTTTTTGATTGCAGTGTTCGAAGTCTGCTACTGCTGTCGGGAGTCTAATGTTGCAGTCGAGAGTCTAACGTTGCTGTTGGATTTATAATGTTGCAGTCGGGAGTCTACTTTTCAAACCTGAGACGTGCTGCCATCGTGTCGAATGCAGCCTTGAGCCCCCGTCCTTGAAGTGAGCTCCTCTCGTAACGGTAGTCTGACACCAGCAATTCGACCAGCGAGGCCGCCAACTGTTCAGCCATTTTCGGTTTGAGAGTATCCGTGCCGACTTTCTGCGCCAACTGATCCATCATTACCACGACCACACACTCACCTTGGATCAGATTCAAGTAAGTTAAAAGTATGCTGGGCTGTGGGTGTCAGAAGGCAAACCAATTCAAACAGCTGCGACATGATGCAACATATAAACTGGGGCTTAAACGCGGTCAGGTTTTTTTTACACCCGGTTATTTTATCGGTGGGTCTAAGTGTTACAAGTAAAAAAGTTAACTTCTATTTTTCTATAATATATGCCGGCTTTCAACAATAGGCCTAGGGAAGTCCTAAAGCCTTCCTGTCGGCCCTTATACAATAGTCCTACTCACAGTTCCACACCCTGACTGCCAGCCTTTAAACAATAGGCTTGTAGATAGTCCTCAACTCTACTTGCGGCCTTACTTACCCAGGGGCGATTCCCTGAAACCCAACTTACCCAGCGTCTCGGGGCCAAGTTTGGAGACCGCGGGGCCTCTCAGGGCGGAGTGAGAAACATTTAACGCTCCCGGCAGTAACATGGAGCTGCCGACGCTACACTCGTCTGCCAGGTCGATCAGTTGAACAACTGTGTTGGCGCCGTAGGTGACCACTGCCCGGTGCTGGGTGTGTCAGGGGGGTGGGGGGGGAGACATTAAGAAAGAAAGAAGCAATGGAACACAAGTCGGGCTGAAACTAAGCCGTCATTGTAAAGGAAACAATCTAGTTGCATTTAGCAGGACAATGTCATTTTAAGGACAACATTCAAGTTGTATTTAAGTGCTAGATAAAACATAACTCTCACCAGCACTTCCAAATTGTATTAACAAGTTACCGTTATAATCATGATCCCTTCTGTCATTATAATCAGGAAATGAACGCATAGCTGAAATCAGGACTTTCCCCGGTTTATTCAGCGTCAGGTCGGTCATTATAATCTGTGTGAACACTAGCATTAATACCAGAGACACTTGGCCCATTTTAAACAGAAATATCTCTTTCCTTGTATTCAAGGTACCTCCAGTTTTATAATTAGGGTCACCTAAAGCATTATAATGAGGGTCACCTCCAGCATTATAATTAGGGTCACCTCCAGCATTATAATTAGGGTCAACTCCAGAACTATAATTAAGGTCACCTCTAGCATTATAATTAGGATCACCTCCAGAACTATAATTAAGTTCACCGCCAGCATTAAAATTAGGGTCACCTCCAGAACTATAATTAAGGTCACCTCCAGCATTATAATTAAGGTCACCTCCAACATTAAAATTAAGGTCGCCTCCAGAATTATAATTATGGTCACCTCCATCATTATAATTAGATTCTTAATTAGCAGTCACCTCTAACAATATAATCAGTGTCACCTCTAACAATATAATCAGTGTCACCTCTAACAATATAATCAGTGTCCCCTCTAACAATATAATCAGTGTCACCTCTAGCAATATGATCGGGGCAACTTCTAACAATATAATCAGTGTCCGTTGTACCTTAAAGACCGGATCAGCCATTCTGGTCTTGATGCGCTCCATACATTCATTGACATCATCGTCTTTGTCCAATTCCAGCAACACCACCCCGCAATTGATGACGACATCTCTCAGATTTTTCTTTACTTCCGGTGTCAATATCCGGAGTTGAATCGTCACCAATGAGCGGCTACAAACACAAGCACAATTGAAAAACTGTCGGCAAACTTATATTTAAAAAAAGCTTTTCTTAGTCGCCTACGCCTATGAAAAATTGAGATTAAACTGATTGGAACTGAAACATCTCATGTCAAGAAAAACTGATTTCAAAAAAGGATGGTTTAGATATTTAACACTTTAGGCCAGTGGTTCTCAACCTTTCTAACGCCGCGACCCTTTATTGCAGTGCCTCATGTTGTGGTGACCCCCCCCCCCCCAACCCTAACATTATTTTAATTGCTGATTCATAAATATGTCTCTTCCGATGGTCTTAGGCGACCCCAGTGTAAGGGTCGGTTGACCCCCCCAAAGGGGTTTCGACCCACATGTTGAGAACCGCTGCTATAGGGCTAAACTTGAAACTGACTGCAAGAGGTTGGTCCAGTTTGAGCAGTAAAGCAGTTCTTGTCTTTCTCTGGGCAGTTCCTTGCATCCAATGATGGCCTCCAGAAACTGGCTTCTTTTGATGAGTCCTTCAGTGCTGAGCTCGTAAGCTTTCTCCATGATGTCCATGAGGAAGTTCTCAATCTGTGTTTGGGGGTGGACATTGGACATTGAGTATTATCAATACTCAAATGCGGAGGAGCAGGGATTCTTAAACTTTTTTGAAAATGGTGTACCACTTAAGTAATACACCATTATATCTTGTGATTTCAACTTAAAATTGCAGGGTAAATTTGAATTTTTTTTTTTAAACATCGATGTGTGCTACAAGGAACACCATTTGAGAACCACTGCAACAGAGAGTATATGTCTCCTTGTATCAATATCATATGAATACAGACCCACCATTCGTCCATCAGGACACTTATCGTCAATGAATCTATTTAAATGGCTTTGTAAAGAAATTAACCCGGATAAATACAGTCTTCTGTTTGATATAACAATTGATATTTTTAGGAGTATTGTCACAAAACAAAAGATGAAACGTATCAAAATCTAAAAGAACACCCTCACTTAGATGACACCCTCACTTAGATGACACCCTCACTTAGATGACACCCTCACTTAGATGTCACTCTCACTTAGATGACACCCTCACTTAGATGACACCCTCACTTAGATGACACCCTCACTTAGATGTCACCCTCACTTAGATAACACCCTCACTTAGATGACACCCTCACTTAGATGACACCCTCACTTAGATGACACCCTCACTTAGATGACACCCTGACTTAGACGACCCCTCACTCAGATGACACCATCACCAAGATGACGTTCTCACTAAAATACCATTCTAAGAGGGCATCCTCACTATGATGACACCCTCACTGAGAAGACACCATCACTGAGATGACACCCTCACTTAGATGTCACCCTGACTTAGTCGACCCCTCACTCAGATGACACCCTCACTAAGATGAGGATCTCACTACAATATCATTCTAAGAGGGCACCCTCACTATGATGACACCCTCACTGAGAAGACACCATCACTGAGATGACACCCTCACTAAGATGGCAGCCAAACTAAGATGGTAACCAAAATAAGATGATATCTCATTTAGATGACACTCTAGGATGACACCTTCACTAACATGACAAACTCACTAGGATGACACTCTTACTAAGGTGGCACCCACACTAAGATGAAACTCCCATTAAGGTGGCACCATCACTAAGATGACACTAATACTAAGATGACACTCTCACTAAGTTGACAACCATACTAAGATGGCACTCTCGTTAAGATGGCACCTTACTAAGATGACACTCCCATTAAGGTGGCACCATCACTAAGATGACACTAATACTAAGATGACACTCTCACTAAGTTGACAACCGTACTAAGATGGCACTCTCGTTAAGATGGCACCTCACTAAGATGACACTCTCTCTAAGGTGGCACCATCACTAAGATGAAACTCCCATTAAGGTGGCACCATCACTATGATGACACTAAAACTAAGATGACACTCTCACTAAGTTGACAGCTGCACTAAGATGGCACTCTCGTTAAGATGGCGCCCTCACTAAGATGACACTCTCACTTACATTAACCTAACCTTGATATCAGGGTACATATTTTCGAATTCCATGTCTTCATCTAGATCTATAAAAAAGCAATTAAAATATAACTATCAAAAAGAAGTCTTTCTCCCTAAGATGACATCCTGACAAAGATGACACACCCACTAAGACGGCGCCCTCCCTAAGATGACATCCTGACAAAGATGACACACCCACTAAGACGGCGCCCTCCCTAAGATGACATCCTGACAAAGATGACACACCCACTAAGACGGCGCCCTCCCTAAGATGACATCCTCACAAAGATGACACACCCACTAAGACGGCGCCCTCCCTAAGATGACATCCTCACAAGGACGGCGTCCTCCCTAAAATGACGTCCTGACAAAGACGGCGCCCTCCCTAAGATGACGTCCTGACAAAGACGGCGCCCTCCCTAAGATGACGTCCTGACAAAGACGGCGTCCTCACCTTAAAGTCAGGGTGCATGTCCTCGTAGTCCATGTATTCCTCCAGCACTTGCTTCACCACCCGTTCGATCACTCCAATGGTGACTGATTCGTTTTGCAAGTCTTTGTGGAACTTTTCCAGAATCTAAAAGTGAGCGTTTCGGTAACACAAAAGAAATTTAAAAAACGAATAAATAGTTCCTATCAATGGCACCCGATAGATCAGTATCAACAACAAGAAATAGTTCCTATCAATGGCACCCGATAGATCAGTATCAACAAAAAGAAATAGTTCCTATCAATGGCACCAGATAGATCAGTATCAACAACAAGAAATAGTTCCTATCAATGGCACCCGATAGATCAGTATCAACAAAAAGAAATAGTTCCTATCAATGGCACCCGATAGATCAGTATCAACAACAAGAAATAGTTCCTATCAATGGCACCCGATAGATCAGTATCAACAACAAGAAATAGTTCCTATCAATGGCACCCGATAGATCAGTATCAACAACAAGAAATAGTTCCTATCAATGGCACCCGATAGATCAGTATCAACAACAAGAAATAGTTCCTATCAATGGCACCCGATAGATCAGTATCCACAACAAGAAATAGTTCCTATCAATGGCACCCGATAGATCAGTATCAAGAACCAGAAATACATCCTCTCTGATCGTAGTTATACATTGTGCTTATAGGCAAATAATGGAAGAAAATTGTTAACAATAATCTCAGAGCTGGTGGTGTGCAATGGATTATGAACTGAACCTGTCGCATAAGTGAACTTAATGTACTGAACCCGACATAATGAACTTAATGTACTGAGCCCGACATAATGAACTTAATGTACTGAACCCGACATAATGAACTTAATGTACTGAACCCGACATAATGAACTTAATGTACTGAACCCGACATAATGAACTTAATGTACTGAACACGACATAATGAACTTAATGTACTGAACCCGACATAGTTAAAATAATGTACTGAACCTGAAATAGAATACTTAATGTACTGAACCTGTCATGGTGAAATTAATGCACTAAACTCCATGTAGTGAAATTAATGTACTGGACCTGTCATAGTGAACTTAATGTATTGAATTGTAATAGTGAGCTTGATGAAGTGAACGTGACATTGTGAACTTAATGCACTGGACAACATAACTTACTGTTCTAACGAGTGCGTCTGACCAGTACACAGGCGATTCGGTGATGTCATGCATGAGGGCTGCTGTCATCGAAGTGGCGATGTTCCTCATCAAGTCTGGGGGCAGACGCCTTTTTCTGATGCTGTACAGGAAGCTGGTGGGAATTTAGACAGACAATTGCCAGGCAACAAACATGGGTTTAAAAGGACTGCTGCGCTATAGACAGATAATTGCCAGGCAACAAACAATGGGTTTAAAAGGACTGCTGCGCTCTAGACAGACAATTGCCAGGCAACAAACATGGGTTTACACGGACTGCTGCGCTATAGACAGATAATTGCCAGGCAACAAACATGGGTTTAAACGGACTGCTGCGCTATAGACAGATAATTGCCAGGCAACAAACAATGGGTTTAAAAGGACTGCTGCGCTCTAGACAGACAATTGCCAGGCAACAAACATGGGTTTAAACGGACTGCTGCGCTATAGACAGACAATTGCCAGGCAACAAACATGGGTTTAAACGGACTGCTGCGCTATAGTCAGACAATTGCCAGGCAACAAACATGGGTTTAAACGGACTGCTGCGCTCTAGACAGACAATTGCCAGGCAACAAACAATGGGTTTAAACGGACTGCTGCGCTCTAGACAGACAATTGCCAGGCAACAAACATGGGTTTAAACGGACTGCTGCGCTATAGACAGACAATTGCCAGGCAACAAACAATGGGTTTAAATGGACTGCTGCGCTATAGACAGACAATTGCCAGGCAACAAACATGGGTTTAAACGGACTGCTGCGCTATAGACAGATAATTGCCAGGCAACAAACATGGGTTTAAACGGACTGCTGCGCTATAGACAGACAATTGCCAGGCAACAAACATGGGTTTAAACGGACTGCTGCGCTATAGACAGACAATTGCCAGGCAACAAACATGGGTTTAAACGGACTGCTGCGCTATAGACAGACAATTGCCAGGCAACAAACATGGGTTTAAACGGACTGCTGCGCTATAGACATATAATTGCCAGGCAACAAACATGGGTTTAAACGGACTGCTGCGCTATAGACCTTGATCTTCGTTTTACCCTAATACCTCTCCTGTCCCAAACTGTGCTGCGGAGCCTGCCAAATATTGCACTTGCTTTTGCGAGTCTGGCATTCATTTCGTCATTTATGATGACAGATCTGGAGAGGGTGCTGCCAAAGGAGGTAAATTTATCCACTGCGTTTAGACGCTGTCCGATGATGGTGATGCTGGGTTCAAAGTAGTGTTTACTGGGAGCTGGCTGGTGCATCATCTCAATCTTCTTGGTTTTGATTGTGAGGCAAAAGTTTTGCAGGCCTCAGAGAAGTTATCAACGCTGTGTTGCATGCCGGCTTCTGAGGCAGCGTTGAGTGCACAATCGTCCGCAAACAGAAGCTCGTTGATGGTGTGATGAATGTGAGTGACATAGACAATGTTCCACATACACTTTTCAGTTATGAAAGCCGTTTACCCAATAACAGGTTGTGTATTCCTAACTTTTTAAACAATGAGATAATACAAACAATAAACTATCTTCCTATCTAACCAAACTTCTTTCTGTCTATTCACCCTTTCGACAGTTTCGCTCCTCCGCAGACACGCGTATTCCGTCCATTCCCAAGACACACACTAAAACATATGGTGAACGATCTTTCTCTTGCTGCGCCCCCAAACAATAGAATTCTTTGCCACTACACACCCGCAATAGACCAACCACCCAGGCCTTCAAAACTGCACTCAAAACACACCTCTTTAAACTATACAACCCTGACTGATTCCCCTCGTCTGACCGATAAACGATCCTGCTGGCTGCCGTCCATGGTTTGCCATGTAAAAGTTCTGGGGTGGGGTGGGTTGAATATACATTTTATTTTGTTGTTTTGGTTACAGGCTGTTGTTTATTTCATAAATGTATTTTATTTTAATGTCATGATTATGTCTCTTTTGCTAATATTTTTATGTACAGCGCGGTGAGCTCAGCCCTAGGCTGGGGTACCGCGCTATATAAGACCACTAATTATTATTATTATTGGAACCTGGGTAGTTCCGACCACAACGCGAGCCACTATCCACTATACGACAACGCTCAGTGAATTCAAATGATCAAATGAGCTCTTCTGTTGCCATACAGAACCAAAGTTGGAAATGAGCGAAGGATAGTATGTAAAAACTAAAAAACTGAAAAAAATATAACGCGACAAAACAGCGAACGTGTCGACAGGAAGCCTTCATCGGCGAACTAACAACAATAAAAACAGAATTATTTTTTTTTTAAAACCACTTTACTGAAATGTAGCATCCGAGACGACAGCAAGAGCAATGTGACAAAACATAGGTTCGTGAGAGATTAAAGATAGGCACAAAGAGAGAGAAGAGAGGAAAAGTAAGTCTACTGCGATTGGTCGTAACGAAGATGGGTCAAAAAAGGGCTTAGCAAGTAAATGAGGAAATGCCATTAGGGCCATGTGTTGTTAAGTTTCCATAAGTCTGGATCAGCTTGTTTTCCAGATTCACCCGGTTTGGTGTGCTTGCACAGGCACGATTGCGCTGATAGCAAAATCATCAGAACCCTTGTGGTCGCTTCTATTTAAGTGTTTAAATACGGGACACTGCTTAACTTGCATAAGAATACGGAGGTGTTCAGTATATCTGTCAGAGAGGTGGCGTCCTGTCCCCCTTGTATACGACATCTGGCAGGGGGTGTCATTTAACACTGACCCGGACACTGTAGTTCCTGCTGAATTTACGCTTGCAGTGCATGCTTGTTGACGGGCATTCTGACCAGTGGTCAAGCAAATTAAATTGTTACCGGGCAATGAACTGACAGCTTGGTATGACGCCCAGATCTTTGTTGAACTCCCTTCTCGTTTGACCAGCCGCGCGCGTTAAACCTCATCTCCCTGGTCAAGAGTTTGTTTTCTCTAGGGTTCATTTAGAGCTCAGGTCTAGCACCGATAATGAAGGGTTAGAATGAAGACATCATCAACTCACCTGACTGGTCTAGGTCTGTATTCTCTGTCCCCTTGCTTTTTTGTAACTGCGCGTGCTCATTTTCATACATGTTTTGTTAAACACACTCACAACCCCCACTCCTGACCCAACACTCACAACTCCACACTCCCCTACCCACACTCTCCATTCCACACTCCTGACCCCACACTCCCAACTCCACACTCCCCTGACCCACACTCTCAATTCTACACTCCTGACCCAACACTCCTGACCCCTCACTCCCCACTGCACAGTCCCAACTCCACACTCCCCACTCCCCACTCCACACTCTCCATCCCACACTCCCAACCCTAAGCTCCCCACCCCACACTCCTGAGCCCATCACCTCGAACCACACAACCCCCAACTAGTCCCGACCCCGAACTCCCCACCTCAAACTCCCCATCCCCACACTCCCAATGACAAGTCTCCATATCCTTAATAATCGGCATATTACCTTTTAGCCACGTCGCCGACTTCAGGTTCACTCAGCCATGACCCAAACGTGTGCTCCTTAACGCTGGCTCCGATGGCCCATATCTTCGACAAGGTCATGGCTATAAAACGATGATACCTGGACGGCGGGAAGCACACGCCCTGTAACAACACAACAAACAACATCAATGCACATTGGCATGGTGGGAAGCACACGTCCTGTAACAACACAACAAACAACATCAATGCACATTGGCATGGTGGGAAGCACACGCCCTGTAACAACACAACAAACAACATCAATGCACATTGGCACGGTGGGAAGCACACGTCCTGTAACAACACAACAAACAACATCAATGCACATTGGCATAGTGGGAAGCACACGCCCTGTAACAACACAACAAACAACATCAATGCACATTGGCACGGTGGGAAGCACACGTCCTGTAACAACACAACAAACAACATCAATGCACATTGGCATGGTGGGAAGCACACGCCCTGTAACAACACAACAAACAACATCAATGCACATTGGCATGGTGGGAAGCACACGCCCTGTAACAACACAACAAACAACATCAATGCACATTGGCATGGTGGGAAGCACACGTCCTGTAACAACACAACAAACAACATCAATGCACATTGGGACGGTGGGAAGCACACGCCCTGTAACAACACAACAAGCAACATCAATGCACATTGGCATGGTGGGAAGCACACGCCCTGTAACAACACAACAAACAACATCAATGCACATTGGCATGGTGGGAAGCACACACCCTGTAACAACACAACAAACAACATCAATGCACATTGGCATGGTGGGAAGCACACGCCCTGTAACATCACAACAAACAACATCAATGCACATTGGCATGGTGGGAAGAACACGCCCTGTAACAACACAACAAACAACATCAATGCACATTGGCATGGTGGGAAGCACACGCCCTGTAACAACACAACAAACAACATCAATGCACATTGGCATGGTGGGTAGCACACGCCCTGTAACAACAAAACAAACAACATCAATGCACATTTGCATGGTGGGAAGCACACGCCCTGTAACAACACAACAAACAACATCAATGCACATTGGCATGGTGGGAAGCACACGCCCTGTAACAACACAACAAACAACATCAATGCACATTGGCATGGTGGGAAGCACACGCCCTGTAACAACACAACAAACAACATCAATGCACATTGGCATGGTGGGAAGCACACGCCCTGTAACACCACAACAAACAACATCAATGCACATTGGCACGGTGGGAAGCACACGTCCTGTAACAACACAACAAACAACATCAATGCACATTGGGACTGTGGGAAACACACTTCCTGTAACAACACAACAAACAACATCAATGCACATTGGCATGGTGGGAAGCACACGCCCTGTAACACCACAACAAACAACATCAATGCACATTGGCATGGTGGGAAGAACATGTCCTGTAACAACACAACAAACAACATCAATGCACATTGGCATGGTGGGAAGCACACGCCCTGTAACAACACAACAAACAACACCAATGCACATTGGCATGGTGGGTAGCACACGCCCAGTAACAACACAACAAACAACATCAATGCACATTTGCATGGTGGGAAGCACACGCCCTGTAACACCACAACAAACAACATCAATGCACATTGGCATGGTGGGAAGAACACGTCCTGTAACAACACAACAAACAACATCAATGCACATTGGCATGGTGGGAAGCACACGCCCTGTAACAACACAACAAACAACATCAATGCACATTGGCATGGTGGGAAGCACACGCCCTGTAACAACACAACAAACAACATCAATGCACATTGGCATGGTGGGAAGCACACGCCCTGTAACAACACAACAAACAACATCAATGCACATTGGCATGGTGGGAAGCACACGTCATGTAACAACACAACAAACAACATCAATGCACATTGGCACGGTGGGAAGCACACGTCCTGTAACAACACAACAAACAACATCAATGCACATTGGCATGGTGGGAAGCACACGCCCTGTAACAACACAACAAGCAACATCAATGCACATTGGCATGGTGGGAAGCACACGTCCTGTAACAACACAACAAACAACATCAATGCACATTTGCATGGCGGTAAGCACACGTCCTGTAACAACACAACAAACAACATCAATGCACATTGGCATGGCGGTAAGCACACGCCCCGTAACAACACAACAAACAACATCAATGCACATTGCCATGGTGGGAAACTCACGGCCTAACGTTAACAAGACATCAGCCAGTCAGTTTCCTAATCATATAAATATTTTTAAAAAACACAATTCTTACGTTTCCCTATGATGAGAGCATGAAATTGACTCGCGTATCTTCATAGCTACAAATATTCGTGCTGAATATTTTACTTAGAATGAAAGGAGGATACTTTATGTGACACCCAAAGGCCAACACGTCGTTGCGTTTATCTAAATGTGTTTAAGATTGCATCCTAAACATGTATTAAAAACATACATGATAAACAGATATCGTAAATTAAAAAAGTAAACATACATCAAAAACGTATATTATTAACAGACAAACATTTTTAAAGAAGAATTATGAATAGCAGTGTTAGCAGTAGCTTAATTGCGTATAGAGAGCAGTGTGAACAGTAGCTTAAATACGTCCAGAGAGCAGTGTGAACAGTAGCTTAAATACGTACAGATAGCAGTGTGAACAGTAGCTTAAATACGTTCAGAGAGCAGTATGAACAGTAGCTTAAATACGTACAGAGAGCAGTGTGAACAGTAGCTTAAATACGTACAGAGAGCGGTGTGAACAGTAGCTTAAATACGTACAGATAGCAGTGTGAACAGTAGCTTTAATAAATACGTACAGATAGCAGTGTGAACAGTAGCTTAAATACGTACTGAGAGCAGTGTGAACAGTAGCTTAAATACGTACAGAGAGCAGTGTGAACAGTAGCTTAAATACGTACAGAGAGCAGTGTGAACAGTAGCTTAAATACGTACAGAGAGCAGTGTGAACAGTAGCTTAAATACGTACAGAGAGCAATGTGAACAGTAGCTTAAATACGTACAACTCTAAGCTCTAGAAATGCCAGGAGGTCGCGAGTTCTACCTTGTCTCAGGCCAGTAGTTCTACGCTTTCTAAATGCCTGGAGTTCTACCCTGTCTAAGGGTTTGGGCTTGTTTACTGTCTAAAGGTCTAAAGTTTTAACCTGTCTGGAGGCTCTGAGTTCTACCCTGTCTAAAGCCTGGAGTTCTACCCTGTCAAAGGCCGTCAATTCTACCCTATCTAAGGGTCTGGAGTTCTACCCTGTCTGAAGGTCTATAATGATGTTAGCCAACGTTGTGTTATTTGGCCATTTTTGTGACAAACAACGTTTTTGAACGGAGATATTTGTTTTTTTAAAATGATATATTAATGTTATGTTATCAAATAGCATGTTTGAATTAAAAGTATAAAGCAAATTTACTGTGTAGAAAGAAATAAAAATACACGATTGCTATAAACACATCCAGGTCAAGAAATCCTAAATGTTCACATCTCTGCTTTTTCTCGTCGATTAAGCATGGAATAAGGCAAAACTAAAGTCAGGGATGTGCCACAGTGGAATTTATCGAACATCTCCTTGGTAGCCCCTCCACTAATCCCATCTTCAGTTTCTTTCGGGAGACTTTCGCACTCCCAATTCGTGCTCCCTACCTACTTCCTTCACTCAATGTGACAGTGGCGGCACCATCAATTTGTGCTTCCCCCCCCCACCACTACTTCCTTCACTCAATGTGACAGTGGCGGCACCATCAATTTGTGCTTCCCCCCCCCCGCCACTACTTCCTTCACACAATGTGACAATGCAGGCACCTTCTATTTGTGTCGACAAAAAATGCACTGGGTGTTATATTAAATAATTTTCTTGAACTTATCAAAAGTAATAGTTTCCTTAGATTGGTGTATTTATTTGAACTGCATAGATTTCAGGGGCAAAAGTAGGCTGACGCCAAAAACACAGGCTCAGCCGGCGCCACAGGTGGCGTGAAGTTATGTCTATGCGTTGCGGTATGACGGAGTCAGAGCTGGGCTTGGGCGACACTATACCTCAATTTTGACACTGATAGGATAATTGTCCACCCTTCCAGAAATCCTTTCCCCACCTCCCACCCAGCCCCCAACGATGAAATTATCTGAAAGAAATACTGGGCAAACGTGTGCGCCAAATTGTGCAAGAGTGTGCACAGGGCTCCCAAGAGTGTGCACAGGGCTCCCAAGAGAGTGCACAGGGCTCCCAAGACTGTGCACAGGGCTCCCAAGAGTGTGCACAGGGCTCCCAATAGTGTGCACAGGGCTCCCAAGAGTGTGCACAGGGCTCACAAGAGTGTGCACAGGGCTCCCAAGAGTGTGCACAGGGCTCCCAAGAGTGTGCACAGGGCTCCCAAGAGTTTGCACAGGGCTCCCCATAGTGTGCACAGGGCTCCCAATAGTGTGCACAGGGCTCCCATGCACAGGGCTCCCAAGAGTGTGCACAGGGCTCACAAGAGTGTGCACAGGGCTCCCAAGAGTGTGCACAGGGCTCCCAAGAGTGTGCACAGGGCTCCCAAGAGTTTGCACAGGGCTCCCTATAGTGTGCACAGGGCTCCCAATAGTGTGCACAGGGCTCCCAATAGTGTGCACAGGGCTCCCAATATTGTTAGACGGTCCAGACAAATGACGTCCATCTGAAGTCAACGTCCCTCCTGTATCTTGCGCCCAGACAGACAATTCCCACCTGAAGTCAACCTCTCTCCTGTATCTTGCGCCCAGACAGACAATTCCCACCTGAAGTCAACCTCCCTCCTGTATCTTGCGCCCAGACAGACAATTCCCACCTGAAGTCAACCTCCCTCCTGTATCTTGCGCCCAGACAGACAATTCCCACCTGAAGTCGACCTCTCTCTCCTATCTGGCGTCCACAAAAAATCCCAGACCATTCCCACTCGAAATCGAACTCTCTCTCTCTCGTATCTTGCGGCCACAAAAAAAAGACAGTTCCCACCTGAAGTCGACCTCTCTCCTGTATCTTGTGCCAAGACAGACAATAACCACCTGAAGTCGACCTCTCTCCTGTATCTTGTGCACAGACAGACAATGACCACCTGAAGTCGACCTCTCTCCTGTATCTTGTGCCCAGACAGAAAATCCCACCTGAAGTCGACCCCTCTGCTGTATCTTGTGCTAAGACAGACAATGCTCACCTGAAGTCGACCCCTCTCCTGTATCTTGTGCAGAAAGTGTTGAGTGACTGCTGGGATGTCGTCCATCTCCACCAGCTCAGTGAACCTCTTCTCCTCCTCTATCTCAGCACGCATCATCTTGGTATGTTCAGACACAGACTCGGCTGTGGGGGGGTGGGAGTGGGTGGGGTGGTGGGAGTGGGTGAGGGTGGTGGGAGGGGGTGAGGG